CAGGACACAGGACTGGCTTAGTTTCTTAGACGCACGTCATTTTTAGCCCTCCTGCTTAAAATCATCACCAATTCTCGCATCTGCGGTACACGCACTTCTGCTTTGCTGAGATTAAGCATCCAGCAATGAAAAACTGGGATTGATGTCCTTTAAGTTTCGGTTTCCTTTCCGCTGCCACAAATGTAGAGCCCCGAGACTGGCCTTCACGCGAAAGAAAATATAATTCTCTAACAGAATATGAGTTTTTTAACAAGCAGTAGTAGTCAGGGCTACTGGCTTGGCTCAGAAGCCAGTCCACATAGCGAAATTACAGTGCTCTGGCCACATGGTGGCTCTTTACCCAAACCGGGAGTTGAACAAACAACCCACGTATTACAATGGCTTTTATTAGGTCCATATAAAAGTGGCACCGTTTTTTTTAAAAAAAATTAGGTAAAAAAATTGTAAAACGCCATACATATGCAGATAAGCTCATTTTGCCACGTGGAAGCTTCAGTCATTGCATGTTGCGTTTCTCTTTTAAGGCGTCGCTTTCTGTCAGTAATGTATCTTTACTAGCAACTTAGTCTTGTAGTGTTTCTTTGAAAATTTTACAGAAAAAAGCGTTAGCTTACCCATGATACGAATAAAATTTGCAGCAAAGTGTTTCTTTTTTGCTTAACTAAGACAAGTAATTTAATGTATGTTCTATTTTTAAAACAAACAGCGCTAGATGATGTTAAGAAAATAAAGATTAGGCAGGGCGCATTTCAGTTAGGGATTAAATTAGCTGCAAAAATTCACTAATATTCAACGATTTGCACTACTAGTTTTAAGATGATGATTGTCATTCGAAAGACGGAAATCTATTGGTCTATTGTAGCGTCACGGAAATCCCCGAAGACGAAAGAAGAGAAAATACACGGGCAGTATATGTGTTCAGCGCAGAGGTGTCTGGGCTATTGGCAAGGCCCACCCAGCGAGGTGCAAGGGGGCTTATTCGAAGTATAAAAGTGGCGCCTCACCAGTGCCGAGGGATAAACCACTATCGTATTACACTATACCAATTTTCTGACTTCTAGGGATACATCTAAAAAAAGCAATTTTTTTCCAGTTGCCATTGACAAACCATAAATTGATAAGCTGTCCGGCCCAAAAATTTAAAATATGTACTTTTTAAGTTGATTTTTTGTTTTTTTTCCTCTACTGCACGATGCATATTAGCACATATTAATGTAAGAAAGGACGCTAGACCGGGAAACAGTCAATTTGTATTTTTATAGATAAATATTTTAAAGTACGCTAAATTTTTCTAGAAAGATACGGATAAATTAATACCTGAAATACCGGCTTTAAGCTTTGGACAAAATACCTTCTTAGGTTGAAAAGTCGTATAGATTGTAGACAATCCTCTTCCTAGTCACTTGTTTATATCCCTCATTTGGCAAAATTTAATGACCTTGACGCTCTGACACCCCACACAAACTTTCAAACCCTCCACCCTGCTTATATTTGGAGGCACAGGAGGTTAAAACGCCACTTAAGAAGTGTGCATATAATAACTTAACAGAAACCATATTCTGTGCTGTAAATGTTCCTGCAGAAATGAATGCAATCAGCCTTTTGGAGTCGGGTGAATTTTCCGATGTCAATGTTTATTTTGACAATGGGATTTACCACCTTCACAAGTTTCCTCTGCTCCTAAAGATGGGATACGTGAAAGACAAAGTTGGTACTTCATCTGATGTAGAGATGCCATACCTGGACGGTGGATCAGAACTGTTTACTGATATAATTGCATTCTGTTACGGCAAGGATATTGAGATAAATCCACGCAATATTGCTTTTCTAAGCAACGCAGCTCATGTTCTCGACATGTTTGGAACCGTAATCTTATTGATCTTACAGACGAGTACGTCGACATCCTCATTACGGATATGCGAATGTCACACAAGTTCGGTCCTGCTATAGTTGCACTGGCATATTCGGCAAGTTTGAAGAACTACGAATACTGTGATATTTTTAACCGATTTCTTGATGCCATCTTAAGCATGTGGGTACGTCGATCTCAGCACAATGATGAAAGATTAACAATTGATCCTGTATTGACCGAATTTCTTGTTTTCCTACCTGATAACGTGGTCATACGCATCATACAGGAGATCTCCACCATGAAATCGACATTTTGTGCCATTGCTGAGTTAACTGCAAAGTTCTTTGCCCTTCGATTTGCCTTGGAAGTCTCTTATACAGAAGCAAATGATGAGCGTGGAGGTCCGTGTGTAGAGGAGAATGGAAGACAAGACAACAAAGTTGATTTAATCTCAACAAATCACTTAAAGAGGGCTGCAATTTGTACTTGTGTTCCTTTTGAAAGAATTAATAGCCTTGATCGTGACATGTTGACGGAAGAACTAGGGGGCATTCGATATGACTTAATTCCTTTGGAGGAAATAATGGACAGCGTTTTTACGGCTTTGCCAAAAGATGTTCCCTTAGTTTCGAAGATCAATGTTGACTGGTGCAAGCAGGTAAGAATACAAATTTAAAAGTTTAACTAATTGAAGAAATAATCTAATTAAAGCTCTGCATGCAAAAGTTCAGAGAATACATTAATGCTGCACACATGATATTCCCAAACCCTTTGAGGTGCCTTGCCAAAAAAAGACAATCAAACTAATTAAAACACGCAGCGTTTTTAGATGTTATTAAGTAAAGTTGGTAAAAATCTTATAAAACGCATTAAAGAGGTGGAACCCTCTGACCTGCGTAATCTTGTGGTCCCACGATCAGGGTACGAAGGGTGACTTCCGCAATTCATTGACTATTTGCCTACATGAGGGCAGGGGCACCCAGACAAGAGGCAACTGTTTTACAACTTGTTCCCCATTTCCGCGCCTTTGTCCCATTTTGGTTCTACCAAACTGTCAACTTCGGTTGCTATCAACTACCAGAGGCGTAAATATGTTTACATTTACAAACGTAATTATAAATACCTCAAAATAGATACTGTGCGGTTTCAACTCCGGGGGGATTAAAACAGTTTTGAAACCAACCTGGAATGATACACACCACCCGTTCCTAATATCCTATGAAATAAGGTTGGGTTAGTAAGAAAGGAAAAACGTAACTGGGGGCATCGCAAGTAATGAATACCGCACCAACAAAATGACGCTTATTTGGGCCTTGTAATTCATTCACTTAAACATTCCGTAAAAACCAACCTTTCTAATAATTGCGCGAAACTTTTTGCATGCCTGAGAACTAAAGTGTATTGTTGTAGACAAATAGTACATAATTTTTACACGTACTTTACCAAATGTCCAAACTTGCTCACCTTTTTGAGAAAGTCGGACCTCTTTGAACTTACCTCCAAACCGAAGATAGATAAACACAAAACAAAACTGTAATTTTATATTTAAAGTAAGCAGCATGCATTACCGAGGTATTCCCTGATTATTATATGCAAGAAAAGAAATGCATTGGCAAAAAGGGGTGACTTGAGAAATAGGCAATATACCACTTTAGCACTTAAAGGTGGATTATAAAAGAAAAACGCTTCCTGTATGTTTTCGCCTCATACATAAATTTTTTCCATTTGTAAGCTAAAAATTTAGATATGTTGGCATGTTTATCAATAAAAACAACTCCAAGCAATAATATTAACATACAGTAATCATACGCTTTTACTTTCTCTCTTAATGTTCCCCACTCCCATCTTTAGGCCCTTTCTGTGACGGAGCGTCGTCGTGATTCCTCCACCAGTCGGCCGCTCATCCTTGAGATCGCTGGCAAAATGATGGCTCGTTTCAGTGTCCAAGAGTTGCGGATCATCTCACCGCAAACCATTAAAGATATTCTGGCCACAATGAACCTGCGTGCCAACCAATCCGCCTCCACGTCTGGTGATGGAACATCGTCAGGTTTAGCTACACTTGCGGGAGAGGAGCGCAAAGGGGAGGTAAATTCCGCCATCGGAGGGCCGCTATTACTCGGCGAGGAGCCCTCAACAATTGCAGAGAATCTGGATCTCTACTTAAGCGCCGCGATTGAGAGCCAAAATATGACGATTGAGGAGTACATTGGACTTTTGAAAACGGCTTTGCCGTTGGATAGGAGAGAAAATCATGATGGACTTATCCGGGCAATATGCAAACTAGTCAAATCGAGTAAGTTGTTGACATGTGCACATCTTGATAGCCGCTTAATTCTTTCCGCTTCTCAGCAAGTGGTCCGAGGCTGCATTTGTTTGCTTGCTGTGGGATTTGTCATTACCTTTCGCATTTGCATAGTCTAGGGCACTTATTTGGTACTATTTTCTTTCCGGTTAATGCTAATGCTTGCACGGGTTGTTTTAATCTCCATGTAGGGCGTCAATAGGAAGGGTAATTTGGTCCCGGCATCAATAAAAGGAGATCATAGAATCCTTTATAGATATGCATGCTCTGTAGCCTAGCAACCGGAGTAATCATGGCCAACCAGATTTATATTTACCGGCTTTGATGGATGCCTTATGGAATGAAGGGTGTAGAGGGTACCGTATCAATAAATTCCCGTCTATTTACACTCTTCCATCTTGCCAACAGGAAAGAAAGTAGACCCTCTACCTGCCTTTCCTTTTTAGACAAGGAGGCATTGACAGACAATTTGCGAGAGGAGATCCTTGGAGTGTTGGATCTTCGTCGCTGTTCGGCCGCAGCACTGCAAGATGCCCTCGATGCAAATATCCTTCCAACTCGTGCGGTAGCTGAAGCTGCACTTCGCTTTGCCAAACAGAATTCCACCACTTCCGTGAGTAACAAATTGGTTAAATTACACAAGCTTATATATTTTCCTCTGTGTTGACAAGAAGTTTCGATGATATTTATGCGTGACATATAATTTGCAATCCCTTAGTTCATTCGGAACAGGAAATGGAAGTGCTACAAGTGTCAGTCTGCTCTGAATGATGTCCTAAAAACTCACTTGAACTACGTAAGGGAGTATTTTTTAACGAAATGGGGAAAGGTGGGTAAGGATCATCCCTTCTGAATAATGTTATATCTCGGGACTAGGCCCGACCATAGGGCATATGTCGCCTTGCATTAGAGGTGAAGACATCTTTCGCTTCTCAGGTTGACCAGTCCAGTATGTTCCTTAAGAAGAAATTTTTTGTTGCACCCATCTAACCCCTACCCTACATGGCACCTACTTTCTTAGATATCCCTCAATTTACTTGGTAGGTAGGAGGAGGGAGCAGAGGGCTCATCTTAACGAGGCATTGCGGATGAGTAGAAATGACATCTCCCTCTCCTCCTTCCATCTAAATGGGCGTGTATTGTGGTGTACGGTTTTAGGCATTGCACTATCCTCTTGGATCAGGAAAGAAATGATTTGGGAGGAATTCTACAAGATTAGGCAACACTGCATGCAAACGAACGAGCGCCTCTTCCCCATCATCAACTGACAGGCAAAAACGTATGATACCCCTGAAACGTGCACCACCCAGACTCAGTTAGGAGACAGGAAAGTCGCCGCGCTGGATACAAACCGGTCTCCGGATTTTTGCAACCGCCCGTTAGAAGGGCGTTAACTTCCGTCAACTGCAGTTAATATTCGGAGCCACCATTGTGCACATCTAACTGCCCACCACCGTCCACATTGCGAATGACATTTTATACCCCCCACACCCATCGGCACCACTCAAAGAGGGTGCTGTACATTCAGTCGGGTAAATAAAGGACTTTTACTAAACTGCAAATGCATGAAGAAGTAGCTCTTAAAGGGGACGATTAAGGAAGTAAGGCATGCCGTAAATCCATTTTGCTCGCCGAAATGTTCAGAAGATTCATTAGCCATTCTGCTTGAACATCAGAAAATTTGTTTATTCGAGACTACTTCACAAAATCAAATATAACTCCAAAACCAGGTAAATCATTGTTTAAATACCTTGATATCAGGAAGATGTGACAAAGGCGCTGCTTTTAGGCTAACGCTGTAGCGGTGCGCGAGCGGTGCCAGTCGCCTTCGCCATCACGATTTTCGTCATCCACTTCGTCCATCTATCGAGCATCGAGGTATATGCTGCCCTACCAACATTACGCGGCGTCGGCTTATTACCCCATCTCCTCCTCAACCAGCACGGGCTACCTCCTGACCTCACCGGTGCGTCAGCGTAGACGACCTTGGGAGAGACCCATCTATGGCTACGATGATGCGCTACCGCCGATTTACAGGCACCACGACATTGGCGGTGAGTTTCCGTCCGATCAGAATTAGTTAAGGGAATATCAACAAATTTCCCAGATACTTTTTGGGCCTTGTGCTAATATAATTTTATAGGT